CCCTAAATTGTTGAAATCCAACAACCCACTTCTTTCCCTCCTTTTTAGGAATTTGAAAGGGCAGGCAGGAAGGGAAGTTGTTCAATATTTCAGAATTCCACTCTGCAGCTGCTCACAGGCAAGCAGTATGTTCCCAAACCTTGCTATTCTGCTGCTAGAACACCACTCTGCAGCCTGTAATGTCAACCCACCCCTCTCCAAGGCTGAAGTTACAAAACGACACAGTGACTTCTCTCCAAAGAGAAATGAAAAAGAAATTAAAGAGAAATCCCTCTTAAAAGAGAGAAGGGGAAAAGAGGAGGAATCAAAGGCCATATCTAAAAATGTGAATTTCTGAAAAAGAAATTCCACTCACTGAAAACAACACTACAGATCAGATAAGTCTTCAGGAAGGAAGCAGTAAGACCGGGCCAAGCCAGGGAAGGAGAGAATGCTGCTATACGCACGGGACCCTCCTCATCCTTTGTGTTTTTGAGACCCGCCTAACTCTGATTTATTCATTGGAGCACTGCATTCAGCTGACCTTTCAGACTTGAATAGCAATGGAGAACTCCGGGCTCTAATTATACCACGTACAACAAATGTGGCATCTCCATTACCATTTCCATTGTTTTTCAGGAGACTAAAGGACAACATAAATATGCTGGATTCAATGACTGATTTATTCACCAATCTTCTGCATTCAGCTTGACCTTTCAATTCTGGTCTACAAAAGAGAATATTTGCCTCACCAAATTCAGCACGGTACAGAGCAAGGGAAAGCCTGGAAAACCGTTTGGAAACACCAGCGGAAATTCCCGTCAGTTATGGCAATTTCTTGTCAATGTCTCCAGCCACAAGAATCTATCATTGTCACTTCTTTTATGTCCCACAAAACACATTAAAAAAAAAAATCAAAAATGGCACAGAAATACCAATTCTGCTACACAATCGCAAGACATTTTAAATGTACACCAGAGACGGCACAATTCAATTGATTTCAAAAGACATACTGAATGAAAATGAATACACTCAACTTCAATTTCAGAAGCTTGCTGAAGAACAAGGGAGACTCCCAAAAACTACCTCATGGTACTCTGGACCCGAGCTAGTGGGCTTTATTGGATGGGATGTCACAGACACTAGCCAATATGTGCTATCACGCTTAAACAACCATGTTGCACAAACCATGTTTACATGCCCATCCGATAACAGGTGGGCTGTAAAAGTATGTATTTGCTAGGAGATTGCTAACTGGGTCTCAAAACAGAAGTCAATAACTAGCACACATTCCTTGTTGTACATTCCTACATTCACAACCTCTGTATCATCAGGAAAGTACCTTAAGATGAAGGAGAATTGTGGGTTGGATCCAGCCAGCTTCTTCACCCAGTCTCACCCAGTTCCCCTCCTTATTATAGCCTCCCAAATAGGGATGTCCAGGAGATTAAGTGGATGAAGCCTGGGAAGTTTGGGGAAGGATATAGTGCCATATAATGTCACATTCTGAGGAATTTCAGACAGGCGATATATTCCGGAAGAGGAACGGTTCCCAAACGGTTTCTGGTCTGTCATTTCAGACAGAACCGTTTGAGAACCAGTTCCCTTCCGGAATATATTTGTCATTTCATACACAATCGTTTCTGTCCCGTTTAGGAAATGGGGCTGAAGCATTTTACCTGTCAACCGGTTCCAAGTACTCCTCAGTTTCCTCTCCCGGTTCAGATGCACTTTTTCCCGCCGTTTTTCGCCCACGTGGGCGATCGCCGGCTTTTTTTTAAACGTTTGCTTTATAACGTTATAGCGCTATAACGGAATAGCATTATATCAATCCCATTGGAATGCATAGAGTGTTTTGTTATACTGCTATAGCGCTCTAAAGTGAACGTTCAAAAAAAAAAAAAAAGCCGGAGATCACCCACACGGGCGAAAAACGGCGGGGGAAAAGCGGGAAAAAGCGGTGCAGTCTGAAATGGCAAACCGCTTCAGATCCAGCTCTTTACCGGAAGGGGAAAGCTATGTGTGAAATGGCAGCCCTATACCGGTTCACTTCAAAACGGATCATTACCGGCTTGAAACCGGGTGAAACTGGGTAATGTGAAATTCCCCAATGTATCATTTATACAGCGGAGTATAATGTCATAGACTCTACCCTCCGAAACAGCAATTTTCTCTAGGGGAGCTGATCTCCATCATCTGGAGATCAGTTGTTATCTTGGGCGATTGCCCAGGTAGGAACCTGGAGGTGGGTGGCTTTTGTATGCAGAAGTCCCATGAAATCCAGCCTAGTCTTTTTGGATAGTCAAAGAGGAAACCCCCTCCCCCACTTTTCACCAGCAGAAAAGCTGACTGGACCTAACCTAGTGTCTACACACACCAATCCCGGTAGCATCCAAATGCCTTACTCACTGAGGTTCCATTTTAGTCCTGTTGTGGTGACGTCACTGCAAGCACTCCCGACGGGAATGAGGCCGCACCATTTCCCCTCCAGACCAGTGTTCACGTGAAGTTTGTGCTTTCCCTGGAAACACATCAAAGAGCTTCGATTTAGCTTTCCCCTAGATAGCATCATGCAAGACACCAACTTTAGAAGACACCCATATTCATGCAGAGCTGGACAGTTAAGTTGTAACACAAGGTTTCTAATGCTACATTCCAGTGGAGAGCTCCATAGGAAAAAGTCCCGTCAGGTTTAACTGCCAAGTAAACACACTTAGGATTGGCCTGCCTGGTTTGGAAAGCCTTGCCTTTATCTAACACAAACCTAACATTCTTATGAGCCTCTGAAAGTGTGGGTCCTCTTCTGTTTAAGAGACAAGCTTCAGAGCATTTGGCTGTTTCATCCCCATTATCACACACCGAGAACCATCCTAAGCAGGCCTACTCAGATGCATCTCTCATGTTAATCAGTCACATGGACTCCCAGGAAAGAGTTCTTAGGATTGCAGCCTTTGTTATACTTGTTTTCCATATTCATATCCCAGTGAAAGCCATACCCAGGAAAAAGCCAGTGGGTATGCCTCCCAGCCTAGAAAACTGATTTGCTCCATCTAGGAATCTTTTAAAAGAGGGCAACTGTAATTATTTCATTTTTTGGTGTGTGTGTTTCTTTAAATGTTTAGTGTGACTGCAGTAATGTAAGGAGAGTGATAGAGGGAGACAAGTGTGATGTGATTGGCTGGTGACTGAGAGTGTGGGAGGAGAGATGTCTCAGAGGATTTTCTGTTTGTGAAGTTTGGAGAGAGAGCATAGTCTGTGTGACTATGGGAGTCTGAGTCAATGCTGTGTGAATAAGACACACAGTTTAGTCTGTGTGACTATGAGAGTTGGAGTCTATTCTGTGTGAATAAAACAAAGAGTTTAGCCTGTGTGGCTATATATATTAGGCTTGCCAAACCGTGGCGGGGGATCCATGCGTCGTTGCAGGATCGCTGCCGTGGGGGGACAGCGATCCACGCTGCACCGGCGTCACCAGGATGTGACGCTATGCGTCGCCTTGGCAACGGGGCTGTTTAGTCCCATTGCCAGGGCGATGCATAGCGTCACATCCTGGCGACGCCGGTGCAGCGCGGATCGCTGTCCCCCCGTGGCAGCGATCCTGCGACGACACATGGATCCCCCGCCGCGGTTTGGCAAGCCTAATATATATGAGAGAGAGAGAGAGAAAGAGAGAGAGAGAGAGAGAGAGAGAGAGAGAGAGAGAGATATTAGATTGAGTGTCTAAGCCTGTCAGAGTGGAGTTTTGGAGTTTGAGAGACTGTTTGTGACACCAAGCTTTGCCAGTTATATTTACAAGTTCCTTTCTTCAGCAACAGTTCAAAATAACCAGAAACCTATTTTGTTCTTTTATAAATAAATCATTATTTGATTAAACTTATCCTAGCAATCAGTACAGTCCTTCCTCAGGGCCACATAGTCCTCTGAAATGCCCAGACACTAGGTCATTCTACCAAAATAGAGAGATTTGGAATTTTTAATTCCTGGTCGCAGCGGAAATGTACTAAATTTATGTACACAGAGCATGTTTTAAAGGAGAAGCAGTCTCCCCAATAAGTGAGGACGCCACAGCAACATTACAGTTTTTATCCTGATCTGGATAGCCCAGGCTAACCCGATCTCGTCAGATCTTGGAAGCTAAGCAAGGTCAGCCCTGGCTAGCATATAGATGGGAGACCTCCAAGGAATACCAGGGGTGTGACACAGAGGCAGGCAATGGCAAACCACCTCTGAACATCTCCTGCCTTGAAAACCCAACAAGGGTCACCCAAGTCAGCTGTGAATTGGCAGCACTTTCCACCACCACCACCACCACATTACAGTTTGCATTTAAAGGGTCAGAGCTACTTTTTAGGAGAAAATATTCAAAAAATAAATAAATCAGAGGTGGCCTTGATCGAATCATCTTAGCAGTGCCTTCTTAGCTGTGGCCACACATGATTCCTCTGGTTCACAGAAGATTTTTTAGGCTCATTCTCACCTTTATTGTACTCAAGTCTACACGAATACATGAAGCCGCCACACCGAATCAGACCCATCAGTCCATCAAGGTCAGTCTTGTCTAGTCAGACTGGCAACGGTTCTCCAGGCAGTGTTCCCTCTAAGCTGAGTTAGTGTGAGCTAGCTCACCGGGTTTTTTAGCCTCCAGATTACACATTTTTGTCTTAGCTCAAGAAGGATGGCTCCAGAGCAGACTAATTTATGCAGCAGCCAAATTGCTCGCTCACAATACCAATGCCAGTAGCTCACAAAGTAGAATTTTTGCTCACAGGACTCCACAGCTTAGAGGGTCTCCTGGGTCCTTGGCAGAGGTCTTTCACATCACCTACTGCCTGTTCCGTTTAACTGGAGATGATGAGGATTGAACCCGGGACCTTTTGCATGCCAAGGAGATGTTCTGCAACTGAGCCACAGCCCCTCCTGTCCGTTACCGGTTACATTCCTAATATCAGCCGCTCACTCCCCCAACCACAGACCGTCTTAAGTTTCAGTTCTGCACTCCACAGTTAGGAAGGTGATGCAAAAAGCTCCTTTCCTTATGAACCTTGGAATATTTTCAGTGCCATCGCTAGGAGATGCTTTATTGTTTGTAAATTTTTGATGAATGTTAGACCACTCTCACTTCTGGACTAATGGCGCAGTTGGACTACTCATTATAGTAAGGCAGGCTGCTCTTTGTCAGACTCTCTGTTCCCCATTAGAATGTCCACCGAGCCCGTCTATGGGTGTGAGATAAATGAGGTTTGCCTCATCCCCTTTTCCTAGTAGCCCCTTAAAACCGAATTTTGACTAGAGCAGCTGGCGAGTGAGTGGTTTTGACCCAGGAGTTCTCTTCCAGACGAATTACCAGATTTTATAAGTTTTACTGACTAAGCGTACATACTAAAACACACACATATTTGGGGAAGTTTTATATGCATGTACATATGCGCTGTCAAGTCACTATCAACATGCTTTCAAGGCAAGTGGGAAGCAGAGGTGGTTTTTGCCATGGCCTTCCTCTGCAGAGTCTTCCTTGGTGGTCTCCCACCCAAGTACTGATCCTGCTTGGCTTCTGAGAGCAGATGAGACCAGACTACACCATACCAGGCTACATCTTAAAGATCTGTAGACAGGCAGAATAACAGAAAATACCAGAAAATAACAGGGAAGATGCAGTTCCTAGCTAGATCTACCTATCATGTAGAAGTTCCTCTCCCACTGGGAGATAGATCAAAGGCTTCTAAAGGACAAAGGTGAGAAGTCGACTTGACAAATCTTGACCAAGACTTGAACCTCTGACTCCCCTATTTACAGGTTTCGCTGTAGTCTGGGTTCCCGTCTTGAGCCAATCAGGAATTTGGGTGCACGTTCCAAATTTGGGTACACATTCCAAATTTCCTCCTATTTCCTCCAATGACTTTCAAAGCAGGGATGAATGGCTTCTGGCACTCAACCCCAAAATTAGGGCCCTGGGTAAATGTGTGTCCTGAGTCCTGGGCAGGATGTGAGAGTTGTTAGAGGAGAAACACCCCACCGCCACCACTGAGAGGAACAGAGGCAGCCACAGAATGACCAAAAGGTGGTATCTGTGTGCCAATCCTACTCCTTCATCCCCCATTAATGAAGCTGATGGGCAGTAGATGCAGGATGGACAAAAGTAAATACTTCTTTACCAAAAAAAAGTGATTAAAATATGAAGCTCGTTGCCAGATGATATAGTGATGGCCACAGGCATTGATAGCTTTAACAGGGAATATTCATGGAAGTTAAGTCTATTGGAGTCTCCTAGCCATGATGACTAAAGACAACCTCCATGTTCAGATGCAGTCAACCTCTGAATCCCAGAGCCAGGAGGCAACATCATGGGCAGGCCTTGGCCTCCATGCCCTGTTGTTGGCTCTCCAGAGCAACTGGACGGCCACTGTGTGAGAGAGAATGCTGGCCAAACGGACCTTTGGTCTGATCCAGCAGGGCTCTTCTTATGTTGTTATGCTCTTACCAATCAGTGTAAAAATGCCAACTTAAAACAGGACAGGTCTGTTTTGTCATCAAACCATATGAATCTATCCATAACACAATCATCCTTAGCAACACCTCCTATTAGATACTGCTATGGTGAATGAGGCAGTGAATAATGAAAGGGAATAAGGGGCAATTTTAGAAAGCTATTATTATTTTAGAAAGCTATTATTATTCATTATAAGTAGGTAAAAGCTTCTGAACTTAAAAAAAAACAGGTGAATAAATATGGGGAAGAAAAACCCCTCTCCTTATTCAACCTATACGTTTCTGCTAAATTGCTAAAATAAACACTGGGTGTGTTCAGATGGCTCTTTAGATCCGCACGAGGCACAAGTGCCTCATGGATTTAAATGTAATGTCCAGACATCAACATCTGGGAAATGTCCGTCTTCTGTGAGCATCCCGTTTTGCCGCGCCTCGGAGCCATACTAAAAAGATACTACTTTAAATCTGGAGTGTTCGGTTCCGACGGGCCACTCGCGGACTTTCCCCCGTCTGATCGTTCCAGTGCACAATTAAAAATCTTGATTCTGCGCATGCGTGGATAAACAAGGCCACGATATCATGCCTATGTGCATGTGCAAAAAGTTGGTTTTTTAAAAGAACCCCCCGCCCGTGCCTCCTTCAGTGGACGCCATCTATACAATCCACAGCGGAAGCAGCGCGCAGTAAGGCGATTCCCCCAGGGGATGTCTGGTTGTGCGAGGATGGATTAAAAAGATCGGGATCAAATCTGAGCCAGCATAATGGTGGGATTAGCTGCCCGTCTGAAAGCACCCATAAACATTTTTGTCTGGTGGCAGATTCAGTTTATATTGGCTATCAGAAAAACACTAATTTTCCAACTGTTTCTTTGCCTGGAAAACTGGCAGTCTAACCTGGTAAGAAAGGCCATTTCCCCAAAATGCACCGGGGGGGTAGCGCACAATCATTTTATAAATGAATGTACATTAAACACACACACACACAAGCAATATTAACTAGCAGTGCAACAAGTCATAGCGGGCTTCTTTAGAATGA